ATAACAAGATTGCTTCCCAACGCTTCAGAAACGTTGTATTAACAAGAACATTGTTTCTCAAAACAGTAACATGTTGTCCGAACAACAACATTGTTTTCCAACACAACAAAACGTTGTCCGAACAACAACATTGTTTTCCAACACAACAAAACGTTGTCCTAACAAAACATTGCTACTCAACACCATAAAATATCCTAAAAGCTTTATTCTTTTCCTAACACTACAGCAGGGTTGTAAATTTTTTTTAGCCTATTTTTTACACCTATTGTATGCCTTGATTTTTAAGTTGGGTGCCGAAAAAAAAAACGTACACTCCATATTCCATGTAGGAATGAAGAGGGTGGGAGTTCAAGCAATCAAATTAAGATGAAATAATTAACATGCCTGTTCTAAACCTCTAAACCAAATTTCTGCTAAGTGCCACAACATGGGGTATCTTCTAAATGCTAAACGTGCCGCAAGTTTTTGTCTCGTGTGCTTGCTATACATCAATCTTGTTCTAACAGCAATACAATTTTCAAACAGTATAGAAACGTTGTCTTAACAACAATATTGTTTACAAGTGCAATAACGTGATTTTTCTAAGTACAATATAATACAGCGGGACTTTCTCACACTATAGTAAAACATCAGTTCCGGAAAATCATAAACCTTCCTATAAAGTACAATAACCTATTAATGTTGTGATAATGTATTTAAACCTGGTGTATCGAAAACAGATTAACGTCAGGATAACATTAGGAAACAATGAAGGCCGCGATAAAATCAAGATTCTAGTGAAATATATTATAAATAATCACTTAATATTAAATCTTTATTTCTAGAATTTTTGCACGCCAGGATTACCGATTATATTTGTCTCGATAGATGCACGCTGAAAACGCACGTGAAATTAAAAAACAACAACACACATTTGTTCCAATTTAGTTGGTATTGAAACCAGTCTTGTGTTGTTGATTTGTTTTTTTTTCCATTCTGGTGTAATTGCCTCGGGAATCAGTAACATATTTTAGCCATTAAATATTTATACCTTACTGCCAACGGCTGATTTCATTTTTTTTCGTATGTCATCGTCTATAAATAACTTGCAAGTTTAAACCACAAAAATAGATAAATAAATCCCAAATAGAGTGTACAGCATTACTCGAAAACTTTATTTTGCTATAGGTAATAAATCTAAAATATATTTTTTTATAGTATTTATTTTGTGGCCTATAATCTCTCTCTCGTTTACCTCTTCTTTTTTACGATATTTCAACATTGAGATTAGTGTCACGAAAGAAATGATCCTATTTATATTTTTTAATAATGTTTTTTATTCTGGTAAAGATTTTTCTTTTTTTGATAGCAGTTCAATCTGAGAAAGCATATTTTGAATTCAAAATTCCTTCGGGAGGTTCAGTGGTAAGCTTAAGGACTTTTTTATGTCGGAATTCGGGGTTATATCCCCGCGGCGAACACATTAAGTTTTTTCCAGTCTTGTGCTGAGATAAAATAAACAAAACAAAAAAACATCAAAGACATCCGCCTCTAAGAAATTTAATGATTTATAAATAATTTGATGGGGCCAGGCGTGACCTAATGGTTACTGTGCCGAACTGTGAATCAGTGGTCCATGGTTCGCGTCCCGTTGTCGCAAAATCAGACTCAGAATTTTTGGGCTGTGGATACACAATAAGAGTGACAGTCAAGTCCAGTGTTCCCTCTAAGCTGCGCGGCCGCACAACAACCAATCAAGTGCCGCGCGCATCATTACTCTAGCCGCGCACATCCTTAGTAATGGTGAGGAGCCTCAACCCGTTGACAGCCTTAATGACCGTAATGGTGGTGGATAGGCCTAATGACCAAATAACCAACTGGTAGCATTGCAAAGTGGCCTAATGATTCAATAGGGTCGATGGTCTAAAAATATTCCCCGCTCCTCATTGCCTTGATAGTGGTGCACATGAAAAAATTCATTCCGCACATGGATTGAAAAAATTAGAAGGAACATTGATCAAGACCTACTATTTAATTAGAGTAATCCAATGGGTGGAGGAGAGTGCTTTTCAAAATTAGGGACGGCTAGCGCAGATAGCCCTTGTATAGCTACGCGCGAATATCCAAAACAAGACAACATTTGATGTAAAATACATGTCATTTGAAACTAGCATTTATCGAAGTTTAGCGAAAATGAAAGTTCACATTTCTGTTTTTTTAGATGTGTAAGGCTTTACATATATTAAAATGTGGCAGTGTATTTTAGTAACCATCCTGTCCTTATGTATCATTCAAAAATTTTCGACAGAAAATAATAAGAAAAAAAAAGGATAAGAAAACGAGGTTTGATTTAAAAAAAACAAAAAAATTTAGCGTCATAGTTCAATCTAAGAGATAATAATGAAAAAAGACACGAGTAGCGTGATTCGCTCAACACAACAAAAACAAAAAACAAAAAAATTCAAATCGATCATGCAATATTTTGACAAATATAGGTCACACACAGCCTAATAGTTATCCCCAAAAGAAAGAATCCCCTGTCTGTGACAAAATCGCCTATAAATAAATAGCCACAACAATGAAAGTCGAACGCTCAGTGATTACGTGTTACAGTATTTCTGCCCAAGGCTGCATGTACAACATAATTATAGCTCTAGACAAAATCGCACATTTCCACAGGTTTGGCCCTGCTGAGCCTGAAGAAGCGTGGGACAGGAGCAGCGCGATTAAATTCGATCAGGAAATCGATAGCCGAGTATGTATACCTGGTTCAGTAGTTAGGGTGTAAAAACAAGCGGGCCATTTTCTTGCGCTCGTGAGGCAGAAGCGATAACTTCTAAGATTGACTTGACAACAAGTGTTTGTGATAGCGCCATCTTCCGTGAGCAGACAACAGTAAATAGATAGAAAGTGCTAAATTAAATATTCTATTAAACCCAGTAACTGTATAGTACACTAAATATGTAACACCTTAAAGCACGAACATACAGAAAAGATAATTAGGCAATATTATTCCCGTTAGTTGTATTTCTGTAGAGTACGTGAAGTCTGTAAGGGCGGTGCGGCCTAGTAGTTAATGCTTTGATATCTGTATTTATAGCAAAGCTACTAAGGCTATCTGCCGCTAGGGGAAAGGCAGCCAGTCAAGTTCACCCTAACATCCACGCTAAAATATTGACTGTCAGTCTTATAATGCACTCATAGTTTAAAATGGAGTGGGGGTGTGGATATTTTGTGATATCGCACAGATTCAAACCCGGCTCGCCAACTTTAAAATGGAGTGGGGGTGTGGATATTTTGTGATATCGCACATATTCAAACCCGGCTCGCCAACTCTGATATCTGGAACTTTATTATAGGGCCAACTTTGAACTGGCAGTCGAAAGTTTACAGGTTCGTGAATTATCCAATCCATATCGTTGTGTCCTTAGGCAAGATATATTACGTCAGTCATTGTTATGCCCCAAATATTCAGTCTGTCCTGCTGTGTAATGGGTAAGAGCGAATATAGCTGAGGGTTAACTTGCGACGGACTGGCATCCCTTCCAAGACAATGTGCCAACATTTCTAATCCATTTGTGCCACAGGAAACTGAAGTTAAGCACCGGTCTTACATGCTTTTCGGGCTCGAAAAGGTCTTAAGTTACTTGAAGTCTGTAGGGAGGACTGTGTTTTCAGAGGCACAATACTAAATAAATTTATAATATGTAAATCAATGTGCATAAGACTATCAGCTTGGAGTAATAAGATCGAGCACGTCGCTCGTAGAATGTTAATGTTAATCTTACAAAACATATTTTATGTCTTGTCACAAATAACAATGGAACTATCTAAACTACTAGATATCTTACACCCCTTTTTTTTAAATATCCTGTGCAACTGATGGTATAAAGTAGTTATTTTTGGATGTAGTTGTATCTTACAGTAAGCTGTTTGTAGAATATTGTTACCTAGCAACCTTTGTTTTGTTTTTTTAGCGCAAAGCTACATAACGGACTGTCTGCGCTCCGTCTACCACGGGGAATCGAATCCCAAATTTTTGCGTGTAAGCCTGTAAACTTACCACTCACCTACAGAGGAACTTTTTTTCTTGAACATATAAGTTATGTAAGGTTAAACATCGACTAAAACTTTCTCAACACATGAACCCCATAACATTCCACACAGCACATGGACCCCATAACATTCCACTCAACACATGGACCCCATAACATTCCACTCAGCACTATGGACCCCATAACATTCCACTCAGCACATGGACCCCATAACATTCCACTCAGCACATGGACCCCATAACATTCCACTCAGCACGTGGACCCCAAACATTCCACTCAGCACATGGACCCCATAACATTCCACTCAGCACATGGACCCCATAACATTCCATATCCTGACTGAACTCTCCACCCAATGAATCTATGGATACTGAGTATTCTAACAGAACTATGTATCTTATGTATTTGCTACTGCTTCACTGACACTTTTCTGCGGTCCCCACTTTAGCTAAGTACCCCTGGACTAAAGCATATGTTTCAAGGCTATAAAAAACACACACGATATAAACTGTGTATATTTCAAGGTTTATGGTTATAAAGATTTCAGCTTGTGTTTTGTAAGCTAACAGACTTGTTTAGCTGTTTTCTTCCACATTTTTAGCTCTAAAATAGAATACTGGTGGCTGATATAGGGAGTCAAGTGTGAAGTTTTCATGGTTTACACACACAGATATATATATATACTCTAAATTAAGTAAATGGTCAGAGTACGTGTTTCTGCGATGTATGTACATGTTCCTAATAATATAGTAACATATTCTCCTCTTTATTTCAGACAGATATCTGAAGGAAAATAGTCACAAGCGACCAAGAACAAGTTCCATGTACGTTCCTGATTGAAAGTAATCCTGTTGGAATTATAACCTGCATAAACTCTGTTTCCATTACTCTTAACACACCACGACCATAGTTTGTTCTTAAGGACATTTTCACTTGTTGCATTTTGAAACTGAATGATTTATGAGGATGCTTGCTTACCATCAGAGACCATTAGTGTGTACGGCGTCTCCTACTATCCTTACTCCTTTTAACGTCAGAGAAAGGATGTGGTCCATGCCCCTTAATTGCTCGTTCTCCCCCGAAATGGAACTGCCGTTTGATCTTTCCCAGAAAAAAAATACTCGGACAACTGAGGTCTTTTCAGAGCTTCAGTCAAAAGTAAAAGACGACAGTCAAGCAAAAGTAAAGGACGAAAATCAAGGTAACGAGCCTCTAGACCTTCGTGTTTCTTACAAGAAAAACGTTTTATTCGTGGACCAAGAAATCCAAAAGGCGCACATATTTGGACCTGTTGAAAGGCCTAGACCGTGGGACCTTTCATTTGGTCCTCAGAAAACCCATTCTTCATACACGCCACCTGACATCGATATGGATTATCCACGATCTTTTCATCCACTATTGTTCGATAAGAAGTTTCGGACCCAGAAAGAGAAATCATCCTATGTAGACCATCCGGATAGAATTCTCTCTTCCTTTCTGCCTCGTTATCCCATTTTGGGATCTCTATTTAATAACCCTTCGTCTCTCGAATTTGTAAGAGTACACTTGGAGAAACTAGGGAGCCCCACCCCAGACCTGGTGCAACCTCATTCCAATAAATCTAAGGATCGATATTCTTGTAAATTTTGTGGAAAGATATTTCCTCGCTCTGCAAATCTGACTCGCCATCTTCGGACTCATACAGGAGAACAGCCCTACAAGTGTAAGTACTGTGAACGGTCCTTCAGCATTTCCTCCAATCTTCAGCGTCACGTGCGGAACATTCATAACAAAGAAAAACCTTTCAAATGTTCTTTATGTGATCGTTGTTTTGGACAACAGACCAATCTGGATCGTCATCTAAAAAAACATGAATCTGTTGGTCCAAACGTCCTTGACAAATCTCCGAAGAGGTTTAGTGTGCAAGATCAATCTGAAAGATATTTCGCAGAAATTCACAATTCTATTGAAAAAGTAACCGGAAAGTCTTCTGGAGAGGTGAAAAGGGTTTCTGGTTCTTCACAATCTAACTTTCACCTAGTCAGCCAATTAAACAGAAAGCTGGCATCACCAGTAAATAACTAATCAAACTTTGAGCAGCAGTGATAGCCAGAACAAATTTGCACTAAAAGTCTGTCCAGAAAGAAGACTAGAATTCATGAAAGGTTCTTCATTCTTCCAAACGCTTTCATCATCGAAAAGTTCCAGATTAAAAGCCACTGCGTTGAAAAGAAAGATGTTGGTTACTGACCTAAGTTGAAAATGGTAAAATACGTCTCAGAAGAACAAGATTAAAGGTCAAAGATGTGCTTCAATGTTTTCCTTGAAAAAAATCCATCCGTTGTCCAGAATGGATTGTAAGATCAACGAATAGGAGCCAAGAGAATCAACAACATAATCCGTAACTTAAAGTTGACTGATTTTGCTCAGTTTTGTATTATTTTAAGCTCAGAAACAGCCATAGAGACTAGTCAGGTCATTGTTATGAAAACAAAAACCGAATATATATATATATGTATTGAGTGAAAACTTCAAATGTACTGACACAGGAGAAAGGTTTTTGTCAAAGAAGAACGAGACTCCGAACACGTTCTGTAACTTTATGATTCATGAATGGAATCCAAAATGTGAACTTAAAACCACGTAGTCTAGTCAGAAATACTGGAACTTACGCATGTCGTTTGCTTTAGCGCGGATTGAAAAACAAGCACGAGTTTATTCTATTAACTTATGTAAACAGATATTATTTTGTTTAAATTTAAATTTTGTAACTAAAATTGTATAGAATTGAGGGGGGATATAATATTTTTCATATTTCTCTAACATAAGTAGTAATACGACAGTATAACTTTTAGAACATAACTGTGTTTTATAAGAGTTTGCATTGCATTGAACTATACTTAGGTGGAGAA